ATAGTAATTTTCAATAATTAAATCCTCTTCTGTCAAACAAGTGGAAGCTTGCTTCTCAGACATGACCAACAACAGCCGCAGTGTCTTAGCACCCAAATTTTACTGCCACCTGCTTCAAGAAGGGACCTGCTACAAGGTCTCTGAAAAAAAAAAATCCAGATAAGAATACTGGCATCTAGGTTAGTCGAGGTGGCACATGCCATTAATCCCAGCAGTTTGGAAGCAGAGGAAGGCAGAGCTCTGAGTCCCAGGACAGCCCGGGCTATGGAGAGAATATACTGACATCTAAATGATGGCAGAACACATGAGCTGCTGGGGCTGTTGGGTGGACAGATAGTGTCCACTAACCTTCCCATTCTTTTTTTAGGGGGAGGCAGGTGTATAGGTAGATGTTCAAGTGTGCAAACGTGTATGTTGTCTTGGCTAGATTTTTGTCAACTTGACATAAGCTAGTCGTTTGGGGAACGGGACTCACAGTTGAGAAAATGCCTGCATAAAACTGGCCTATAGGGGCCTGCAGTGCAGTTTATTGACTAATGATTGATGTGGGTGGTGCCATCCCTGGACAGATGGTCCTGGAGGATATAAGCAAGCGGCCTGAGCGGCCTACAATGGGGCTCGGCAGCCGGCAGATTTCCTCCAAGTCCTCTGCTTTAGTTCTGGTCCCCAAGCTGCTGCCTGGGCTTCTCTTCATGCCAGGACTATATACAGTCAGTGGAAACAAACCTTTACCTCTCGTGGTGTTCATCGCAGCAATAGACACAGTGAGACAGCAGTGTAAGCCAGAAGTCAATGCTTTTCTGAGACAGGGACTCTCACTGAACCTGGACCCCACTGATTCAGCTATACTGGCTGGCCAGCAAGCTCCAGGGATGGTACCCCCTTCCCTGCAGCACTGGGGTAATAGATAATGTGCCATCAAGTCCAGCTTGGGGTGCTCCGGACTGCTTCCACAGCAAACACTACCAACTGAGCCGACTCCCCATCCCCTCAGAATATCACAATACACCTCTCCATATTCTTAGCTGCCTTGGGTAGGTCTCTGCCATTCCCTGTCCTGACTGCCTGTTATGTTTTGCAGGTGGAATACTCAGGATTACAGCATGGGTCATGCAGTGATCCTGCCGCAAACCTTTCAATGGCTTCCCCACGAGACAGGCTAAACCCAGAGCTCTTAGTCTGACAGCTTTGATGTGGCCTCAGTATGCTGGACCTGTGCTCTCAGCACTTCTCCAGCATGCAGCCTCCAGATACTGCTAACCCTCAACCGCAGCAGCCGGCCATCTGCCTCGAACGGTGATCTACACTCTCATGTCCTGAGACATCATTCCGGGTTTAGAGCAGTCATTCTCCTCCGCCACACGGACCTCACGCTTGTCCATTAAGGCAACGACTCCTTTAGTATTGTGGCCATTTTCACATCCACTCAGGAGCAACTGCAGAACAGTGTTGCTTCTAGTTTGGTTCTCATCTTTACGTTGATATTCATAGCAGCTAGCAAGAGCCCGGCATGTGGTGGATGCTACAAAATATTAAATCAATTCTGCATTGACTTTTCATTCTTTCTAAATCTGAGTAGGTGGCTGATAGCAGGGTGGTTGGGAAGACCTTTCATGATGTCAGGAGCTGCAGCTCAACTACAGTCACGTAAAACACGTAAGCAGTGCGGCCCGGGGAATCACAGCGCCTAAGCTCACTAGAGTCTGTGCTAGAAAGGGCGGGCAGCATTCCGCTGCTCAACTGCTCATGCAGCCAGCCTGTCACCTTTCAGGGGGTGACCACCACTCTGGGAACCTCGGCGAGAAATGGCCACCACCCTCTGGCTTCTGGAGAGGACTATCACTAATGGTTTTCATTCCAATCCTTTGTGTTTCTGAGACAGGGCTTCTCTGTGAAACAGCTTTGGCAGCTCTGGCTGTCCTGAAATTCACTCTGTAAACAGGATGGCGGCTGCCTCCCAAGGCATGCGCCACCACCACCGGGCTTTTATTCCAATCTTAAATCATTCCTCCAAAAGTGAAGACGCACCACAAAGGGCGGCACACATCTGCAATCCCAGGCCTCTGGGGTACAGGGAGAAAGATACAATTTCAGAACCAGTGGCTCCATGCCCTCGTGAGTCCCTATCTCAAAACACAAAAACGGTGACTCACACAAATGCTGCGTTTCCATCATGCGCAGAGTCTAGACTTAAACACACAATGACATCAAAGTGGATGGGTTGGAGAACAGAGGTAACGGGAAGGGCGTGACCAAAGTGCATGATAGACAGATGGAAACGGCCTATCAAACACATCATTCTTATGACAAATACATGCCAAGAAAGAAGCACAGGAAACAGAATCTCTTTAAATACAGATTGGGAAAGGAAGCGAGTCCGCAATGTTAAAACGAAGCTGTCTAGCCTACTCCCGTTATAATATGCTCAGAATTAATCCGGACATTAGCATTCTATTACTATTGTATTAGGGACTGAACCCAGGGCCTTGTGCATGCCAGACAAGCATTCTACCATTGCGCTATATCTCCAGGCAAACACTAGCTTTAAAAAAAAAAAAAACTTTTTTTTACATTTATTTTGTCTGCACGCATACATGCACTTGTGTGCTCAGCGTGCACGTGAAGGGTAACTTTTCAGGGTCGGCTCTTCCTTTCCAATTATGTGGGTCCCAGAGATCAATCACAGGCCTTGACCTGCTGAGGCATCTTGACAGGCCTAGTTTTAACTTTTCATTAGGAAGCTAAGGCAAAACAGTCACCTCTGCACCCCAGATTAAAACATGAGATTCTATTTGGTATTCTAAGCAAGTATGAAATCTACACCAAGAACTAGAAAGTCGTATTATTGGTATTCTGAATAAAGGAGAGTGTCCAAAAAGCACTGGCAAAAACTGCCTCACTCACTCAGATTTGCATCCTGTGCCTTCCTGCTCCACCTGGATTATGACACAGAATTTCTCTCATCTGTCTTTGCTTATAATTTGGTCTGTATATTTACAAGTGTTTTGATCTTTCTTCCCAAATTCTTCTCCTTCTCACAGAAAATATGTGAGCTCCTGCTTACTAGGCTTAGAGACTGGGTACCCAGGCAGAGTCCATCAGAGACAGTGTTCGTGTGGGGGGCTAGCACAGCAAATAACCAACCCCGTGAGCAGGCTGCAAAGCCACGCAGCCCGAGTCAGCATGTATTAAAAAATAAAACTAGGCAAACTGCAAGGAAGGAGGGACACCGTTCGGGGGGGAGCAAGGAAGATGTTAACACTGACACTTTAAAAACACCCTGATTTCTATCTCATCAAACCGTTCATTCCTTAAAATGATTAAAAGATACAAAAGCAATGAACTTAACTGTAATTTCTGTGCTGTTTTTCAAGTTTGGCAGTCAAATCAGACCCGGGGGCAGGAGGTACTTTAGCGCAGAGCTGTTTGAGATGCTTGGCTGGACCAAGCAAACTTGCTTCAGATACTTTGTCAAATCTGTATTTAAGCTTATTTGGATAAAACTGAGGGATGAAATCAATGACTTGACATTCAAAAGTAAACAATGAACAATGGCAATTATGAAATGACATCTACCACCACAGAATTCCTTGTATGAATTTTTAATGAATTATGAGCCAATGAACATTACAGAATTAAGCCTTAATATTTCTTCTTTCCTATGAACAAGGTAACTGTAACAGCCTATCTCAGTTAGGACAGAAGACCACAGTAAACATGAGTAACAGTAATTAACCTTCGTCCACCCGCGCATGCTTCCTCAGAGAACAACACAAGGGCTCCCCACGGCAACAACAAATTCAATTACCTATGTTTTCCTGATCACAGCTACAGCTGAGATACAGCAGACCTCTCCACCCACAACACTGCACTGGGTGTTTTCTCTTCTTCCCTCTGCATCCTTGGAGGTAGTGAGGGGAGCAAGAATCTCCTAGGCGAAATCTTGCACAACTGCTCTCAACCACTGCAGCACTCTCCAAACAGCAGGGCATTTTTAAACCAGAACATATCCCAACACCAGAACCAGAATTATGGGGCCCAAGCTTAAACAGTTCTTTTTAGCCCCTCCAAACTCCAGCCAAGCTGAGGCAGCACTGATTTAGGTGTTACACCCCGTCTTCAGATACAACTGTCATCTTCTCCGCGCTTTCTGAGACCAGTGAAAACATGACCGCCTTCAACGCTGAGCGGTCTGCCTTAACGGTCTGACAGCCATACTGGTCTCTAGTAACAAACAGATCCAGCTATAAATGAAGGCTCTCTGTCCTCCGGTGCTATCCTAACTAGGAACAGTCAATTCTATGAGCTAAGATGGCTTGTTCTGGGAATGGTGGCATACACCTGTATCCCAGGTGGGGAGGCTGAGGCAGGGAGTGCGTTCAAGGATAGCCTGAGCTACATAGCGAGAACAAGTCTTTAAAAATCAAAAACAAACCACAGAAAGAATGGCTTGGTGTTAAATACAGGAATCTCCTGATTTTTGGTTCAGTAAGGAATGAATAACCATATGATTTTGTTTTCCAGTCAGCACCTTCAAAACTTTGTTACAAATGAACATTTATGACAAGACAGAAACAAAGTTACAAGCCAAACCCATGAGAGGCTCTGGAATTGCTCCTGAAGATGCAGCCAGTACAGCTACCAGCTTTTAACTATTCAGCCTTCATCCTTAGCCAGGTCTTCAATCAAATTTTACACACACCACCAAATTGAGTTGTTTGAGACAAGAAAAACAAAAAACAAAAACAAAAAAACAAAACATTTCCTGGGCCAGCTATCTTTCCTAGTGAGTTTAACAAAAAATTCCGTTTTGTACAAGGTTTCTTCTTGATACAGATTATAAAAAAAGAATCTTTAACAATTTTCTCTTTTTCAAGCAAATACAAATACCTGTAACCCTTTCAGGAGGCAACTACAGACCTGTTCCATGGCTGAAGCCGCCTGATTCAGAGAAGTATTGACAGATTTAACTTTCAAGGACTCCAAGAACCCCAGCAAGCTGCTCACTGTCCCTAATTTTATTAGATTTAAAACAAAATATACATACAGCAATCATGTAAAAAGTACAAAGATTTTACTTGCCTTCATCAATTCTTATGTATCTGAACCATATTAACTATACTTTCATAGAGAAAGATGTTTCTGTTGTAACAAAAGAAAAAACAAAGCCCTCAGCTCAAGTGTTGAATTATAAATTCCAGAGAGTATTAGTGAGAAGGTTTATGGGTCAAAATAGGAAATAATGTCCAACTCTTTCCAATGAAACTTTCCAATTGTTGCCAACCTAGGTTTTCAGAGTTAAGCCCATGGGGCAATACCTAGGTGATTAAGAACACTCTTCACCAGGGTTCAGGCTGGCGCTGTTTCAAATGGGTGAGTAAACATTTTGTTGACAGCCCCAGTGGAGACTTTGAGGCTTCTGATTGTTGTGTAATGTAAACAATATGAAATTAAAAATTCTTCATAACATCTACAGCATTATAAAGTTAGGAAATAAAAGAACCGTTGACCATGTGTTCTAGGGTTTATACTAATAGCGCTCATATGGAGTGCTCTAAGAGCAGCTGGGACTGCTCTGTGTGGAGACCAGTTTTCTCAGAAGGCCAAAAACTAAAGACAGACGCCAAGAGACGCACATTCCTATTACGTCTGAACCAGCCTTGCTGGCATATGCATAATTATAAGTAGATCTATTTCCCCAGTCCTTGGCCAACCGAGGAACCTTCTCCATCATTCTGTTACAGCCATGGACTATAAGCCCCAAACACAAATGAGCTCGCACATGTCTCCTCCTCTTCTTAGTATTACCCTACTGTCCCCAAATGTCACTCTAATTTTGTACCATGTAGTGATTTTTAAGAAACTGAATTAGAACAAAGCAATCCCTTTGTCCTTTTTTTCTTTCTTTCTTTTTTTTTTTTTACAGTTTTTACACACATTATATATACAACTTTTAAAATAGCTGCACAATTTTATTTCTCATTGCTGGAGAAGTGCAGTCCAGGCAGACCATGCTTCTCAATATATTAAAAATATTAAATAAACCCAGCCAGTTTCATACGTTCTAAGTCAAGCTGGCTAGACGTAAAGGGACTGGAGGAAGAACAGGCAGTTGTAAGATGGGACTGACCTTCATTCATACACACTACATAAATCCTGCGGTTTCCTTCTGCAGCACCTCTACACCTCACCTTTAAGCTGGAAGCAACACACTGCTAACATAGAGAAGAATCTGTGGCAACATGCATATGTCAACTGCCCACTTAACCAACTGCAACCCTGAGGATTTTTCTGGCCCAGTGGAAAGAGGAAAACACTAAGATCGTCTCTGTTGTCCAGCTGCTTCTTCTCCAGCTCTCAACTCCATGTGTTCTCAGGATGTTTCTTGGGCATGCACACATGATACTATCACGTCATGGTTCTACTTTCCACAAGTAGATCTCTTCTCCACTGTCCTTCTTCCCCGAAAGCCACTGTCATCCATCCAGAGGTTTTCCAAGATAAACCAAAGTCACTTCTGTGTTGCCATATACAGCAGACACTGCTGGGTACAAGCAGACCTTCGGAAGTCCTCGAAAGGCAACCCCCAGGAATTCATACCCACGCTCAAAAGCTAAAGTCTTATCTTCCATGTCCAAAATGACTCGGATTCTCTCTCCTATCTGTAAACAGACATCACAAGGTTAGCAGGGTATCCACCGAAGGCATGGGAAGGAAAATGACGGTACAAATTAAAAAAAGGAAAAAGTACAAAGGATCTGTATCATCTAAGTTATCTCTGTAGATGAGAGGGGACTTTCTGTGGCGGGTAAGGACTCAAAAGGAACACACACCATTCTCAATGCAGGGCTTCTTCAGATCAAAGAAGAGTCACATGGGACCTATATTTAATTACTTTAAATTATTCTTTGCTCAAAGCCTTTTCTTAACGAAGTTAACACTACCATCTATAACTTGGCACGTTTTACCAAAAGGATCTTTCTAAATGACCCATTCATGTTGCTGTTATATATAAATAAAATATTAAATCACCAGAAAAAGAAATGATTTTTGTTTGTCTGTTTTGTTTTTCTCTGTGTAGCCCTGGCCATCTGGGAACTTGCTCCGTAGACCAGGCAGGCCTTGAGATCCGCCTGCCTCTGCCTCCTAAGTGCTGGGATTAAAGGTATGCGCCACCACTGCCTGGCAAGAAATGAATTTTTGATATATGCTAAAGCTTAAATGAAGCATGAAAACACAACATTAAATAAAACAAGCCAGCCAGAGAAAGATACATTTATAATTCCAGTATCTAGAACGATCATACAGAGACAGGCAGATTAGACGCTAACAAGGTCTAGCAGGGAAGTGGAACTACTGTTGAGTGACAACAACTTACGTTCAGGATGAAGAAAAACTTCTGGGGCTACAGAAATGGCTCGGCCGTTCAGAGCACATGTTGCTCTTGCAAAGATCCCAGATTCAGTTCGCAGCACCCACAAGGTAGTTTACTGCAGTTACCATCTGTTACTGCAGTTTCAGGGACCTGACACCCTCCTCTGAACTGCAGCATCAGTTACACACATGATTCACATACATATATGCAAGAAAACATACACACATAAAATAAAATTTTAAAAATCTACCCCACACCCCAGACAGGGCTTTTCTAAGTAACCCTGGCTGTCCTGGAACCCTGTGCAACCACGCCTGCTTTTAAAAAGGAACAGCAGCACTGTCTGTCTAAGCTTCCAACTCGATACACTCAGCTCTTCACCCAGTGTCGTCTCTCTAGTTTGCATCCATACAGGAAGGCTGCATTCGGATGCTGAAAGTGGAAAGGAGGACCAGCCACAGAGCTCCTCTGAAGACTGCTTGCCTCGCACACATGAAGGTCTGGGTCCAATCCCCAGCACCACACTTGGGAGGTGGAAGAAGGAAGACGGGAGTGGCTACACAGTGAGACCAGGACAGCCTAGGCTACATGAGCTCCTGTCTCCAAACGCGGGTAAAAGATGTAGAAAGTCCTAAGATTTATAACTGGGATTTAATACTTCCTGATTATGGTAACTCTTGCTGTTGTCATTAACTTTCGATCATTTCTTTCCTGCCACAATGACTGCCGATATCTGCTATTATTCACTCTGCCCAAATGGACCACGGACATCCCCCATCTTGCGGTCCTCTAAATCGTCTTTACCATGCCTCCCAACCAAATACATACATAACAACACTCCTGTCTGTTGAGCAACACTGTCTGTCGTCCTAGGAGTCCTCTCATCAGTCTCAGGAATTAACCCATTTTGCAGCAGATTTAGAAGACACAATTAATTCTGCTGAAATTCACAAGTTTGCTTCACCTTGAAACATGCCACATGTATGTTTACAGTAAAGGAAGCGAAAAGCACAAGATTCTCTAGCGTTGGTGGCTACCAGTGGGTGAAGTGTGCGTGGCAGGCACACCTTTGATCTCAGCACTTGGTAGGCAGAGGCAGGTGGATCTTTGAATTCAAAGGCATTCTGATCTACAGAGAGAGTTCTAGTACAGCCAGGCCACACAGTACAGCACGGTCTCTAAAGACAAACAAAAATGCGGATGGCAGAACAACTAGACACCAGAAAGGAGCAAAGGACGAGAGCATCCAAATCCGCACACGAGCTCCACCCACATCCACGTGAGACACAGATGACACGCGCATGAAAAGCTCCCAGGGAAGTGGACTGAGAAGAGCAGAGCTGAAACCTGCTGCTGCATACCATAGAGGCATGAAGTTTGCAGTCTTGAGTTCCAGCAAGTTAACTGTCTACCATTACATGAAAACCTGCGCACACCAAAGAATAAAGCAGTTTCTAGAAAAAGAAGACAGCCCAGAATTGCTAGTACACCTTACCCACACATGCAATTTTCAATTAAAAAAAAAATCACTAAGATAAAATAGGAAAAGTATGACTCTCGAAGTGGTGGGAAATCAAAAAAAAAAAAAAACAAAACAAAACAAAACAATTTGCCGGGCAGTGGTGGGGCATGCCTTTAATCCCAGCCCTCAGGAGGCAGAGGAAGAGGCAGGCAGATCTCTGAGTTCAAGGCCAGCTTGGTCTACAAAGTAAGTTTCAGGTCAGCCAGGACTACACAGAGAAACCCTGTCTTGAAAATCAAACAAACAAACAAACAAAAAATTGACTCTTACCTGGACATTTGACAAAGAATTCAAAGTATTTATAGTTATTACGTGTGCATATATATATATATATATGCATATATATATCTGTGAAATGTAATTAAATAGTATGTATGCACTAATATTACAGCCATTCTAAATATGTCTAAAGAATGAAAGAAACATAAAATCTCAATAGAGAAACGGATACAGAAAAAAGAAACCGAATGAAATCTAGATCTAAAGCATACAATAACTAGAACTCATTAGCCTGGTTCAACAAGTTGAGATGGTAATAAACTGGTAGTAGACATGAAGCTAGAGCCACAGAAATTATGCAGTCAAAGAAGACAGTGAGTGCCAAGTATGGTGACACACACCTTTCACTGCAGCACCAAGAAGAGGCAGGTGGCTATCTGTGAGTTTCAGGCCAGCTAGGGATATAAAGTGAGACATTGTCTCAAAGCAAAAAAAGAGAAGGCTTGTGATGAATAATAAATAAATCATGAATTAAGGGGCGCAAAGATACTATTAAGCAGTTCAACAGTTATAATGTATGTAAATGGACTAAACTCTTAAAAGACAGACTGTAAAATGCTGTTAAATAAGAAAGGTTCAACCACATGCTATTTAGGGGTCCCATCTTAATAACAAAATGAATCAAAAGCAAAAGGCTGGAGGGATGCTTTAGAACAGTGTTCCATAAAAAGCTGGAGTGGCTACATTAAAGTCAGACAATACAGACTCAAACAGGAAGATTGATAGAGTCAAAGGTCATTTGCAATGATGAACAGGGCACTCTAACAATTAGAGCCCTTAAGTCTATGGAGCAAAAACTGAGAGCCCCAAAAGAAAAATAGTCAAGTTAGGGAGCACAGTTAGGACTTCAATACTTTTCTCAGTAAAAGAACAAGTAAAAAGAAAATGAGGGGTGGAGAGATGGCTTAGTGGTTAAGAGCACTGGCTGTTTATCCAGAGGTCCTGAGTTCAATTCCCAGCAACCACATGGGGGCTCACAACCACCTATTACATCAGGTGCTCTCTTCTGGCATGCAGGCAAACATGCAGACAGAACACTGTACACATAACAAAGAAATCTTTAAAAAAAGAAAAATCAGTAATAATACAGACGACTTAAATCCTATCAATCCATCTGACCTAAGATTTTCAGAATATTCCATCTAAGAACTGGGTTAACCAGTATAAATATATTTCTAAAAAATGGAAATAAGCCAGGTAGTGATGGTGCGCAGCTTTAATCCTAGCACTCAGGAGGCGGAGGCAGAGACAGGTGGAATCTCTGAGTTCAAGGTCAACCTTGTCTACAGAGTGGGTTCTAGGACAGCCAGGACAACACAGAGAAACCCTGTTTCAAAAGCAAAACAAACAAACGAAAACAAACACAAAGAAGAAAAAGGAAGAAAGAAAACAGAACAATCTCCGACAGCCTGGTCTACAAGAGCTAGTTCCAGGACAGGCTCCAAAACCACAGAGAAACCCTGTCTCGAAAAAACCAAAAAAAAAAAAAAAAAAAAAAAAAATCTCCGAAAACAAGGAAATCAGGATTTCCACTGCACCTGAAATAGTGATAAGACTTCGTGTTCAGCAATAGAACTGCACCCTCCTCTCTATAGGACATATATAGAGCCTAAAGAGACAATGAGGAATGATTTTACAAAGGAAAATCCTTTCAGCTTTTGCACCTCAAGAAATGTATATATGGCCAGACGTTGGTGGCATACACCTTTAATCCCAGCACTAGGGAGGCAGAGGCAGGCAGATCTCTGTGAGTTGGAGGCCAGCCTGTTCTACAAGAGCTAGTTCCAGGACAGGCTCCAAAAGCTACAGAGAAACCCTGTCTAGAAAAGTCTAAATAAATAAATATATACATACATAAAATTTTTTTAAACGTGTGTATAATATATATATATAAATATATATTACCTTTTATATTAGTGTGCCAGAACTGATAATTTTATTACCATATTTTTATGTGTATTGGTCTTTTGCCTGAATGTCTGGGCATCACTTGCATGGCAGTGTCTGTGGAGGCCAGAAGAGGGCATCAGATCCCTGGGAACTGGAGTTACAGACAGTTGTGAGCTGCCATGGATGCTGGGAACTGGACTTGGGTCCTCTGGAAGAGCCAGTGCTCTTAACTGCTGAAGTATCTTGCCAGCCCCTCAAAGATTATTGAAGCTAAAGATTTCAAACTACCTGTGGTTCCAAAATGTGAAATCTACAGTCCCTCAAGACTTCTGCTTTGGGAATTTCTTTTTAAAAGATATTTTTAAACATTGTGTATTTATACATGTGTGCAAATGTTTGCAGGTGCCCACCGAGGTCAGGTAAGGGAGTTGAGGCCCCTGGAGCTGGAGTTAAAAAGTAATTGTGAGCTGTCCAAGGTAGGAGATGGAAACTGAACTCTGGAAAAGCAGCAAATATTCTTAATTGCTGAGCCAACTCTCCAGCCTACTTGTTGGAATCTTATTGAATTGTTGTTTTATTCTCTGCTGAATCTATAATACGGCTTTAAGACACAAGAATTGTAATTTTAATTCTAGAATCAAATGAGTGCAAGACATTAAGATGGAAGAATATGGGGTAGGGAGGTGGCTCAGCAATTAAGAACACTGCCTGCTCTTCTAGAGGACCCAGGTTCTATTCCCAGCACCCACATAGTGGCTTACAATGTCTGTAACTACAATTCCAGGGGACTGACATCATCTTCTGGCTTCCAGGGGTACACAGACATACAAGCAGACAAAACACTCATACCCATAAAATAAAATTTAAAAATAAATTTAAGAAAAGAAAATAAATGTAGCAGTCTGCCTGAACTTATTTATCTCTACAGAAAACACTAATACCTCCAAGGGCTTTGAATCCATACATTAGTAGGAAACAGAGGGTAAATATGCATGTATAGCACATGCATTTGTTGTGATGATGAGGTGACCAGAAAAGGCGGGGGGGGGGGGGGGGGAGTCCTGTTTGTTTCATGACACATGGAAGATGACAACCTTGGACACGAGCCATACTGGTCTTCTGAAGCACAGCCTCGCTTCTGTAATCACATTACATGCAGGCGATGTGATGCTATAGCAACTGAGCGTAAAGTGTTTCTGAGACAGCATGGCCAGCAAAGCCTAAATATTTACTCTTTGGCCCTGTATGGAAAGTTTGGCAACCTCTGACCCAGGACAAAGATTGATTACTCAAATATGTATTAAGAAATACTGACCTAGGGGCTGAGAGATGGCTCAGAGGTTAAGAGCACTGCCTGCTCTTCCAAAGGTCCTGAGTTCAATTCCCAGCAACCACATGGTGGCTCACAACCATCTGTAATGAGATCTGGTGCCCTCTTCTGGCCTGCAGGCATACACGCAGACAGAATACTGTATACTTAATAAATAAATAAATAAATAAATATTAAAAAAAAAAGGAAAGAAATACTGACCTATAACCTTCAACTATTTACTTAAAAATTACCAAAACAAAGACAAAAATCTATAGTGGCTATATAAAAATGTTTCTGTTTTAAACAAATTAAGATGTGATTTGAGATGGCCCACACAAGAAAATATCGTTTCTCACCTGATACTTTGGTGCGTTGTTGCACTGTGGAAAACTGCCATTGACTTCTCCATTATGTAGCAGATTATTGTCCACCAGATTCCAGCCCCAGCTCTGGTCGTCACTGCCCAGCAATGCCACATAACCTTGGCACTGCATAGGGGCCCGTTTCGTAGCAATTCCTATCACTGCCACAGTGCCCAAAGGGCCCTCCCACCATACTTCCCAGGCGTGGCGGCCCTCACTGAAACCAATCTTGGTCCTTGCACCATCAGTGCTCTGAGCGATGGGGTTCCGATGTAATGTAAAGCCATTCTTCTTGATATAGACATTCCTGGAGCAGTCATTTGTGCTGAAGGCATGTTGGAAAGCACGTACCTAAAAACATGAGAAACAGACCAAAAGAATAAACTCGACTTTTTTTTTTCTTAAATATTAAAATGTAGCAAACTAAATGTAGTGGCTCACACCTGTGATCTCAGCCCTCTGGGAGGCTGAAGCAGAAGCGAAAGTTCAAGGCCATCCTGGACTACTGAGCAAATCCCATCTCTCTTCCCTGCTCCCAAACCAAAAAACTTGAGGCTTTGTGTTTATAAATAATAAGATCATAAACTTTTAAATAGCACACTATTTCCAAATAATGAATAAAGCTTTAGCTGGGAAATTAACATTAAATACTGTACCCCATTAAAAATAACTCCTAGCTAGAGCTAGACATTGTTCTGCCTGCATGTGTGTCTGCAGGCCAGAAGAGGGCGCCAGACCTCATGTGAGCCACCATGTGGTTGCTGGGAATTGAACTCAGGACCTCTGGAAGAACAGCCAATGCTCTTAGCCTCTGAGCCATCTCTCCAGCCCCCTAGTCCACAATTCTTACAAATTCTAGGTGTTTTTCCTCTAGTATTTCCCTCTGTTACAGTGACAGCCTCTTGCTCAACCTCCTATCACAGCTTCCCATTTTGTTGAACTGATTCTACTGCATTCACTTTGAGTGACTCCCTCTCTGCCCCACAGAAGCCTACAAAAGCAGTCCTTAGCCTTAAATTCCTTCCAGAGCTGTCTTTCTGAAACAGTATCTCCACAGACTCTCAGGTCAGTTAACAACTTTTGACAGCTCCACACAGAGGACCACATCCACTCCAAGTTCCTCCTGGCTCCAAAGCCTCTCAGAGCAGGCTGATGCACTTCCTACCCCACCTGCCTCGCTGGGCTCCTAGTGCCCCATCTGCTGCCCTCTTCCTTGTTCTCTACCACCACCTCCATAAAGATATTCTTAGCCAGGGCCACCCAATTCCCATCCCCCTCCTCTCCTGATCCCCATTCACTATTGTCTGTACCACACCCAATCCCCATCCCCCTCCTCTCCTGATCCCCATTCACTATTGTCTGTACCACATCCAATCCCCATCCTCCTCCTCTCCTGATCCCCATTCACTACTGTCTGTATCACGTAACGCTTAATTATAAGGATCTTGTTTTCTAATGTGCTTCTGAGCAGATGATTCTAGTAAACAGTTTTTGCAAAAACAAAAACAACAACAAAAAAACTAATGTAATCTAAATTGGTCAGTGTAGAACCTGCAAGAAATGGGAAAGACAGAAGAGCACATTAAGCAACACCATGGGAATGAAATCAGAAACCTAGGATGGTAACAAAAAAATTACAGGGGAGGAGGTGGAAATGGAATCAACCTGCAGTCTAAGATAGCCTAAAAAGACTTAGCAACTCCTTATCATGAGAATGTATACAGGTACTGATTAAATAAACTATAATATTCCATGCTTATGAGGCAACACTGCAATTTTCTATTAAGAAATTACAGCCAGTTTCTTCTCCCTCCCTCCCTCTCTCTCTCTCTCTCACTCACTCATTCATTCACTTTGTTTTCCAAGACAGGATTTCCCTGTGTAGCTTTGGAGCCTGTCCTGGACTAGTTCTGTAGACCAGGCTGACCTGGAACTCAGAGATCCACCTGCCTCTGCCTCCTTAGTGCTGGGACTAAAGGCGTGCGCAACCACCGCCCATCTTGTCAGTTTCTTTTTAGAGATGACACTAGTATCATAGTATGTGTCTTTGCTTTTAAAAATAGCCAATGAAAAATTCAAATGAAATGGAAAAATGCCCAACTAATAATGTTTAAAGCTGAATGTGCCTTTAGAAGCAGATGCAGGCGGATCTTTGAGTAGAGGCCAGCCTGGTCTACAGAGAAACAAATACTATCTTGAAAAGCAAAATTAAAGTCAAGTAGTCTCGGTTTCTGAACAACCTAGATTTCCTATTTCAACATCATCAGTACAGCTTCGGGCTTTTGAGTAGTTTCCCCTGAGCTCACCAGCCCACCGCCTTCTCCAACATACTCTCCACTTCTCAACTAGCAGTCTCTAATTCTGTTTCTACAAATGAAAACAAAGACCTAGCTTAGGATATAAGTCTGGATATAATCTAGAGAAGTATAGACAGACACAAGCATTTGGGATAACCAGTGCTACCTGGAGATATGTAAAACACGAGTTATAAAAGTTTCTGGAAATGGGGGTGTAACTCAGTAAATGCTGAACATGCATGGGATCCTGGGTTTGAGACACAGCAGGACAGGTAAGGGAAGGGAAGGAGGAAGAAAAACATGAACCAAGCGCACACTTCCTAGTGTCATGCTCTCCCCACCCCAGTTCTGCTGCCCACTCCTTGGGAGTTCTATTTGAGCCACCCTCCCTAATCTCACCCGCCCTGTCTGCGGCAGTTTTCCCAGCCATGCCCTCCTCTCTATGTGCCCTCTGTATCTCGTGGCCTAGTCTCATTAAAACACAGCTTTTACTTCTTCCTTCATCTGTTCAAACTTGTATGGTTTTCCAATTGCAGAATAAAGCCCAAACAATGTATCAAAACCTGTGTTTCCAAAGGCCTTCATATATCTAGTGCCAGGTTACCTTTATAATCGCATTTCCCTTCATTCAACTAAAATTACTTTCTATCTTTAGCCTAGAACTTTCCTCAGCCTTAACTACCAAGTGCTGCCTGACATCTGTTGAATGTCTCAACTCTGTGCACTCTGCTCTTCCACAGATGAACTCTAGCTCAAGTGACACACTATGTTCCTCAAATACCTAGGAGTCATTCCCTGCTCTTCCTTCTTCATTTCTATTTCAAAACTATTGCCAAATTCTGTAGATGCTTTAAGGAAAAGATTGTTTGATCCCGCAAATTTCAGAGAAAACATAGATAATCCCAATATCTTAATCTTCTCTGAGTGAAAAAAATCAATTTTAATGTATGATGACCTAAAATCCTAGTGCCATACCTAAAGACAATAGGAGGAACAGTCATCAAATCCTGTAGATTCTATTTCCTAAGTGTTTATTTCTCTCCATCTCCTTCACTACCTACTTTCTAATAGATCTAAAGGATTTCTAAAGTCTTCTTCCAACCTCTTCTCCTTACTGAAGTAAAAATAACCTCTTTAAAATACAAACCAGTCCAACCACCAGTCCCCATGTCTGTTTCTCTTGCTCACAACTAGAAACGGCTTCACTACGCTTGTCCCACTGATTTTCATCTTATTCACACTGGCAACGTCTGTGCTAAGGACTACCGCTGACATTCTAGTTTCTCACACCAGCAGATTCCCTTAAGAGGCTTTTCTTGCTCCTCTTGGCCTGTTTATCCTTATCCCTGGGGTCTCACTGAGCCTATGCACCACGTCTGACCTCCGTACCCAGTTAAAGCCCCCATTACTGACACTCGGAATACAGTGTAACTCTCACTCACAATACTCACCAGTGCAGTTTACAACTGCAATGATCAGATTAACATCTATTCCTCAGGCTGGGGGATGTAGCTAGCATGTATTCAATCCCCAGTACTGAAAAGGAGAACACAGGCAGGCTTGCACACGCATATGTGCATGCCTTCTATAGACTATAATCCCCATAAGGCACATGTTGGTAAGACTTTGCATTTTTGCTTTCCCTTTCTGTTTTTCTGTTCAGAGTTCTTCATAAAATTTTCAAATCTACCTCATCTTAAAGTTCAGCTTAGTATCATCTTCATGTCAAACCTTTTCTAATTCTCCACTCAACTCTTTCCCTTCCAGTGATCTTCCTACACTACACTAAGGAGCAATGTGTTTGTTTTTTAAAATAAGGTTTCACTTTGTAGTTCAGGCTAGCCTGGAAATCACCAAGCTGGCTTCAAATTCATTCTGCTCCTCCTGCTTCAGTCTCCCAATGCACCACCATATCAAGCTTAGAAGCCTTAAGCTAGACAAAAACAATAAATTTTAAAGGACAATTTTTAATTTTTTTTTCTTGAGAAGGGATCTTACTACATAGCTTTGGCTAGCCTTGAACAGAGACCCACAGAGGCCAAATTTTTAAAGTTAAAAACACTGACTGTCAAGCAAAGTAGGACAATATTGAAACCTTCTGCACTCTCCCCTAAGTTACTATACAACTAACACCCACTGACTATCTGTACTACACAAATACAATCCTGGCAAATGATGTTCTTCTACTTAACAAGAAAAACAAGGACTTAAGAATGCTCTCTAGATAGGTGGTGGTGGCACACGCCTTTAATCTCAGCACTCAGGAGGCAGAGGCAGGTGGATCTCTGTGAGTTCGACATCAGCCTGGTTTACAAAGCAGGTTCCAGGACACCCAGGGCTGTTACCCAGAAAAATCCTGTCTTAAAAAAAAAAAAAAAAAAAAAACTCAAAACAAAACAAGAACAACAAAACAAACGAAAACCTCCCTGATCTTCCAGAGTACCAAAGTTCAGTTCCCGGTGAGAGCGTGCGTGCGTGCATGCCTGTGTGTGTGTGTGTGTGTGTGTGTGTGTGTGTGTGTGTGTTTGGGGGAGCTCGCATCTGTCTGTAACTCCAGCTCCAGGAGACGACACTGTCTTCTAGATTCTGTGGGTACTGGTATTCACATATTTGTGAATTCACACACTCGCATCAAAATATTTTGCCAAGAGTGGTCAAACCTGCATCTCAGGCATTGGAAGGCAGAGCCAGGTGGGTTTCTGTTAAGGTCTAGGCCAGCCTGGGTTGCTAGTGAGAGACCCTGTCTCAGGGAAAAAAGAAAGACTATCTGATAATTGACATATTCAACAGCAGTGTTCCTTCTCTTATCACACTAAAACTTGTTTTAATATAAAATAAACCAGTAGCAGTGATCCATACTATAATTCTAGCACTCTCAAAGAGACAGAAAAGTGGCAAGTTGGAGACTGCCCTGAACTATATAGTGAGATCCTGCCTCCAAAGTAGACATAATATATGTGTATATACATATTTATAATACACATAAAATAAAAGAAATAGTGTATCTATTTCACATGAAAAATTACTTTGACACTCACTAGCATATAGTATTAAAAAGGGATATGCTTGCCATAGTCCAGATCTGACTTTTATATGCTCCTTGTTTTGTTTTGGGACAGCGTCTCTTATTTTGTGTAGCTCTGGCTGTCCTGGAACTCGATATGCAGACCAGGCTAGCCTCAAACTCACAGAGATGCACCTGCCTTTGGCCCTGGAGTGTTGGGATTAAAGGTGTGCAGCCCCACACCCGGCTTCACATATGTTCTTGATGACTGCTATTCTAAAGAGCTACTATCTGTCTAAATGAACCTGAACCCGAGGACCATTGTCTGGGCTGGAGAATCCTTGGTCCTGCCACAACCTGTTACTTAGCGTTCTAATTTTGTTATGAAGACACAGGAATGGAAGAAAAAGAATACCAAAACAAAACCCAGAAAAATAGCAATCAACGTTTAGATGATAAATACAACAGAAGAAATATCAACTGGGTAGAACTATGAAAAAGATATCAAGGAAGTAATCAATAATAGTAGCACGAGGCAGCTTTATGAGTTATATGGCACCAATGGAAAGATGTTCTATTAAAATCTCTCCCTTGCAAATTAGTTAGCAGGATGCGTAACCCCAAACTCACTTGGAAGCATTAAATACTGCCGCTGTATGAGAACGTCGGCACAAAGAATGAAAATGTGCTTATTAATCGGAGCTTGGAAAAGCTGAGGTGAACGCAAAGATCCCGGCAACTAAACCCATTTTAAAGCAACCAAGATGAACTAAAGTCATAAGTCAATCTGGAGGCCGGGAAAACAGAAAATCAAGGATACTGGCTGGTGGTCTGCCTGTAAGAGCAAAGACAGTCGAAAGTAGAACGAGTGGTGAAGATCAGGGATGGAAAGCCACCTAATATTTTAAAAAGTGAGGTGGCTCACGAAGCAGAACTTCAATGCAAAGAAAAGACCTTTACGGAGAGGAGGGGTAAGGACGGTACTGACTGGCTGAAGCCGTGGAAAGGCGGGATGATGAGGTGAGACACCTGACTCAAGCTTAGAAGATACACCCCGAGAACGGCGGGCAGGACAGGAGCCGGGCTTCGACGTGGCCCGGGCTTCCCTCACCTTGGCCTTGTAGCTGGGCAGGTTGCAGAGGATGTCCGTGCGCAGAGCCTCTTCTGCCAGGCTGCGGGCGCACAGGCTCCGCCACACCTCGCTGTTCTCGTCGCCGTGGAGGCAGCGGTACCAGTGCTTGCACACCAGGGCGCAGCTCCGCAGCTCGGACAGCTCCAGGTAGGAGAACACCAACTCCAGCACCCGGCTGGGCAGTCGGCCGCCGGCCCCGGAGGACCCCGAACCCGCGCCCGCGCCAGCGCCCCCGCAGCTAGCGCCGCCCGAAGCTGCTCCAGCCCCCGGGCCCGGCGCCGCCATCGCCTCACTAGCCGGCCCGAGGGCCGCCGCTGCCGCCGCTTCGCCCCGTCTCGGCACCGGAGGCCAAGCCTCGCCTAGAGATCGGAGCAGCACGCTCCACCACCCCTTTCAGCTCGGGCCAGCGGCGCCTCCACCGCTCCCGCCCCTGCCCGGGGGCGTCCGCCGCGTGCCCCGCCTCACTGAGGGCAGACGCGCGGGCCACTCGGGTCCCCGCCCCTCGTAGCCTCTCAGCGCGGGCGCCGGAACCACCCGCCTCGCCCGGCCTCCCCGCGACGCACCCCGGGATCCGCCATGCGGGTTGAGGGCAAGAAGCAAGGGCGCACGCCCAGCTCGTTCGCCGAGCCTCTCAGCCCGGAAGTGACTGCTCCGCGAAGGCGCCTCGCTCCCTAAGCTTGACGGGATTGGAGGCTGAGTGTGAGGTCATCACTAGGCGCCGGCCGGGAACGGGAAGCCCAGGTATGAGGCTGTTGCCAGTGGGTTCGATCTACTCTCTAGAGTTTTTTTTTTCTCTTTTTCGACTAATGGCCTTGAGTGGGCTCTCCTTGGCCTCTCTTCCTCCGGAGTTTCCTGTTTCATTTGCTTCCTGCTCAACCTCCAGTTTGTGCACGACACTTCCCTTTTTTGCTCGCCAGTTCGTGCATCTTTACTTCTATTGGACCCATTTTCTTTACCTTTGGGCAGTTGAGAACCTCTTGTCTTGATCAGGTTAGATAGTATTTTACTTATTTACTTTATTTTTTTTTTGGTGTTTCGAGACACGGTTTCTATGTGTAGCTTTGATTGTCCTGAACGAGCTCTGTAGACCAGCCTGGCCTTCAATTCAGAGATCTTCCTGCCTCTTCCTCCCCAGTGCTAGGATTAGGATTAAAGACTCCAGTCTTTTGGGGGACAGGACCGTAGGGACTCCCCGAACATCTGTACCAGTACTCCTTTCTAAAAGTAAGGTGACAAAATTTGCTTCGTAAATACGTGGCGAAAAACAAGTTTAGATAATCCCAAAGTGTCATTTAAATAGTAAATGTCACAATCTTTTTGGACAAAATAGAGTGTGCTCAGATCCATCTCTTAGTAAAAAGATTAAGGAAATGTGTTTTGTGTTCTGTTTTAATTTGTTAAACAGTCCCAAGAGGGAGAATAAAGTGGAGGCATAATGATGGTTTTCAGGGAGGAAAAGAAATCCTGCATTATCTAGTCATACTACGTTTCCAAAATTTAAAGAGTACTTAGAAAAAGAATAATAGAGGGTTGGAGTGATGGCTGAGCCAATAAGAGCACTTGCTGCCTTTAGGGAGGACCTGGGTTCATTCCCATCACCCAGGTGGAGGCTCAAGGCCACCTGTAGCTGCAGTTTGAGGTGAGCCAAGGCCTCTTCTGGTTTCGTACATGCCTGAGATGTACATGCCATGCACAGAAAGTCAAAGAAGAACTACAGGGTGAGCATGCCTGGTAAGAGGTTTAATCTGGCTTTATAATTCTCTATTGAGTGATTATTATACTAGGGCTCACAGGCTCAATAGTCAACCCCGGTGTCATGCAATCCTTATGTAGTAAGAAGTCTTGCCTGAGATCCACCTATGTGTAATTCACTTCCTGTTTTTTAGTAAAAACAAATGGGCAGCGACTACTTCCCTACTCTGGTATAATTACATGCTTATTACTTGCCGATCCCGTCCTCAGAACGTCTTTCACCTAATTAAGTAGCCCAGATGCTTGTCTGTTTTGTCAGTGCCAATGCCACAGTCTTCTAGTTTTAGTGTTTTTCAGTCTGTCCACATCAGGACTCGCTTTAGGAAACCCAAATCTTTGAGAAAGTGTTGACTGTCACAGTAATGACCATTTCTCCGTGGTTCCTGGGTGGTGAGCCAGATTCTATCTGAATGGCAGTTACGTTTCCTTTGACTGGTAGATCTGAAAAGGAGAGAAAGAACTACACAGAATGATGATAGAAAGGCATGAACAAGGCACTGTGGTACAAAGAGTCTGTAACTCTGGCTGCCTGGGAACCTCAGGCGAGAGACCACACGAGCCAGGAATTTGGGACCAAACTGGGTATAACAGAGTCAGTCAGTCAGTTTCTGTTTCTCCCTCTCTCCGAGGCTTGTACACTTAAATAGCAGAAATCCATAAATAAAGGTGTGACTGAAGAAAAGCACTGATAGTAGAGATCATTCATCATTTATCACATATTGTTATCTTGTCTTGGAAGGATCTAATGATATCATTCTGTTCTCTATCCCGCCACCACCAGACGGACTTTGTCTGTGTAGCCCTGGCCGTGCTGGAACTCACTCTGTAGAACATGTTGGCCTCTAACTCAGAGATCTGCCTGCATCTGCCTCCCGAGTGCTGGGATTAAAGGTATGTGCCACCTTTGCCTGGCTGTTGTCCTTTACCCGTTATTCAGATGACTTAGTGGCATCTTACCACTCAACTAACATCAGGGTAATCTCAAAGCAGAAAAGGGTTGCCTTTCTCACTCACTCTCTTGTTTTCTTGTTACCAGTCTTTTCACCTACTGTTTATGAGCCACACCTGTTCCCTTGCCCATGTCATTACGCACTCTACCTACTCAGAACTGCCCCTTGTGGCATCCCACCCTTTAATAAAACACTCTTAGCATACCTCACTTTGTTCTTATGCACTCCGTGATCTCATCGGGAGTTAGAGGAAGTGACCTATTATCTAATTAAAGTAATCCATAATTGGATATGAGTAAACTCTGTGCTTTACCCTTTTAAGCAACTGCACAGGAAAAGGCCAATGTACTGACTTGGTAAACAAGTGAGAGAATATTGACCTTAACCTATTTCTACTAGCTGTCCAGTCCAAGTGTAGAAAACCAAGAACAGCGGATTGCAAACAACCCATGTCTAGATTGTTTTGACTTAACTTTTAAGAACCTTTTCCCCATAGCCAATTTGCCACAGCATTCTGAGTGTTTGACCCTTTTTCCCCCTCAAAGGTCTCAATATGTGGCCCAGAGTGGCCGAGAACTCAAAATCCCTGCCTCAGCCAGATTACAGGTGCTGTGCTACCAGTTCTGGCTTGTTTAACACTTATGATAATGGTCTTTGGATATGTTTTACAGACCAAGTAAACAAATGATTTTGGAGGGCTGGAGAGATGGCTCAGAGGTTAAGAGCACTGACTGCTCTTCCAGAAGTCCTGACTTCAATTCCCAGCAACCACATGGTGGCTCACAACTATCTGTAGTGAGATTGGATGCCCTCTTCTTGTGTAGAGGCGTACGTACATGCTGATAGAGCACTTGTATACATAAAATAAATAAATTTTAAAAAAAGCAATCAAACAAAAAAACTGAATGATTTTGAAGGCTCTAGTTGGATCACTAATAAATATTATGCATGATAATTGTTGATTGGCTAGAGTGAAAAGGCTCACTGGGTATTTATTCTAACATTTTTTTTATTTATTTGATATGTATGAGTATGTATTCATGTGTACCATGTACATTTCTGGTGCTCTCAGAGGTTCAAAGAAAGCACTGGATCCCCTGGGATTGGAGTTACTCTGCTTATGAGTGGGGGTGCTGGTATCCAAAGCCAGTCCTCTGCAAAAGCAATAAATCAGGTTCTCTTAACCACTGACCACCTCTGTGGCCCCAGATGAATATATACATTTTTGAGGTTTTCCTAACTTTTTTTTAGATTTATTTATTATTTATTATGTATATAGTATTCTGCCTGTATGTCTGCTACAGGCCAGAAAAGGGCACCAGATCTCATTATGGATGGTTGTAAGCCAACATATGGTTGCTAGGAATTGAACTCAGGACCTCTGAAAGAGCAACCAATGCTCTTAACTGCTGAGCCATCGCTCCAGCCCTGGCTTTCCTAACTTTTTTAACAGTCCCATTAATAGTTCTTTATTATTTTTCTGATTATATAAGTGATCAATGAATACCCATGCGAGTTAGAGTCTGGAAATTTAGTGTCTTGTGTGCCCTCCCCCATCCCCTAGTGCTTAGAGTTGTACTGTTCTTGGGTCTTTAATTAAGGATTAATGAAAAGATTTACTACTAGATCCATTATGGAGAAAATGATCAGAACTATATTGTTGTCTGTAATAGCCCTCTTAACCATAAAATCTATTCATTGACTAACTTCTCATGCTTTGGGGTAGAAGTTAGCGAAAAGTACCTTTAAAATTGAGTTAATTGGGACTGGAGAGATGACTCAGCAGTTAAGAGCACTGACTGTTCTTCCAGATTACCCAGGTTCAATTCCCAGCATCCATATGGCCGCTCACAACTGTCTGTTGAGGGATCTGACGCCCTCACACCAGTGCACATAATATTAAATAAATTATTTTGGAAAATAAATAATATTGAGTTAACGTCTTCTAAAAACAAACAAACAAACAAGAAAGGATAAAATTAGTAAGATTAGGAAACCTGCAAAAGCTTACACCTGCTAGTATTTGTGTCTCCTGTGGATAGCTATGCTAGAGAAGCAGAAATACTAGACACGGCTTATGTTTACCCAGAGTTTTGTAGGTCTAATCTTTAAATGTCTTTTGAGAGGAGAGGACAAGGGATAATTGAACTTTTAAACTCTCTTTAAAAACTGTTCAAGTGTTTGTTATATTTGTCTCATCGCTTCAGGTTCTGGTATAAAATCTGATACAGGTTTTCTCCCTCTTCAGGGTTCTGCGGGCCATCATGGCAGTCAAGTGGACCGGTGGACACTCTTCTTCTGTCCTCTGCCTAAACGCAAGCAAAGATGGGCTGGTGGCTTCAGGAGCAGAGGGTGGAGATCTTGTGGCTTGGGGTGAAGATGGGACTCCTTTAGGACACATGCAGTTGGAAGGGGCTGATGATGTTACCAGCGTCCTGTTTTCCCCTTCCTGCCCCACCAAGCTCTATGCCTCCCATGGAGAAAGCATCAGTGTACTAGATGTCAGGTCTCTTAAAGGGGCCCTGGACCATTTTCATGTGAATGATGAAGAAATCAATTGTCTTTCACTAAATGAAACGGAAAGTCTGCTGGCTTCTGCTGATGACTCTGGAGCAATCAAAATCCTGGACTTGGAAAAGAAGAAAGTCACCAGGTCCCTGAAGAGACATTCTAACATCTGTTCCTCTGTGGCTTTCCGACCTCAGCGGCCTCAGAGCCTGGTGTCATGCGGCCTGGATATGCAGGTGATGTTTTTGCAAAGAGCACTTGGGTAATTTCTGAGCAGGATTTGCTAACAAAATCAAATATGTATTTGGTTGGTTTCCTTGGCAGTTCTGGGAATTGAACTGGGGGCTGTACATGATTAACGTGTACTCTTCTACAGAGCTGTATCCCCAGCCCCTAGAATCAAATTATTTTCTAGTCTATCCTAACATTTCTTATCCAGTTATGAACTATAGCCTTAGTACTACCATGAGTGCTAGCCCGACAGAACCTACTCTATTTTATTCATTAGCACTTTGTCTTCCTTTGCCCATCGTTAGACATTCTAAGACCTTAGGATTCAAATGCCTGAGTGTAAAAATTGCTTTAAACAAAGAAGGGGTAGTTTTATGTCAGCAAAACAGACAAAAGGGGGGGGGGGTTACTGAATGTAGAGTTGTTCCACACATGCTCTAGAAACTCTTTTTTGTCATTGTTTTTCAAGACAGAGTTTCTCTGTATAACACCCCTGGATGTCCTGGAACTCTCTGTAGACCAGGCTGGTCTCGAACTCACAGAGACTCACCTGCCTTGGCCTCCTGAGTGCTGGGATTAAAGGTGTGTGCTACCACGCCCAGCTTCTAGAAACTCTTAAATGGTTTGAATGTATGTGAGGGCGGGAGATGGAGCAGAAAACCTTGAAAACAGTTACTTGAACTGCCTGTGGGTGACCAGAAGCAGAGCACAGTGTGCAGTGCTGGACTTTGGACGCAGCATCACAAATTAGCCTGCCTTCAGAGGAGACCGCTAGGGAGGAGATGGAGGCGTGAAGCACGTTGTATAGGGAAAGCTGGTGGGGTTTAGTTTTGTGTTCTCACAGGAGCAGGTCTTGGATTAATGTGCTTAGGACTTTCAAGTGCTTTTCACTTTGCAAATACGAGTCTTCATTCTAGTCACGCCCTCCTAATTCTTGTTCCTTCTCAAAGTTTCAGCTTATGTGTACAGATGTTTTGCCTGCATGTATGTATTGCACTGGCTTTGGGCCTGGTATCTGTGCAGGTCAGAGTTGAGCATTGGGTACTCTGGAGCTACAGTTACAGACAGTTGTGAGCTGTCACATGAATGCTGAAATTTGAACCAGAGTCCTCTTGAAGGGCAGTTTGTTTAACTGCTAAGCCTTATCTCTAGCCACCTGTTGTTCCTTTTTAAAAATTTTTATTAGATGAACCACCTGCCTAGAAGCAGCCTTAATTCTCTACCCTCCAAATTCAATGCTTTTTCTCTATTATAAGAGTTACTTGAAGTATCATCTATGCTTGAAGTAGTGGTGTACACCTTTAATCTCAGCTCCTCTTCTGGGAGGCAGAAGCAAGCAGATCTCTGAATTGGAGGCCAGATAGAGCTACATCATAGCAAGTTCCAGGACAGCCAGAGCTATGAAACAGAGAAACCCTGTCTCAGAAACAACAACAGCAGCAGCATCAGTTTTGCCAGGTGGTGATGGCAGACATCTTTAATCCCAGTACTCTCAGGAGACAGAGGCAGGTGGATCTCGGAGTTTGAGGCCAGCCTAGTCTACAGAGCAAGTTTTAGGACAGCCAAGACTACAGAGAAAAATCCTGTCTTGAAAAACTGAAGGAGGAAAAAGTCAGTATCCATCATAGTAGCGTTGGAGGGCATGGCTGTGGAATGAGTAGATGTCCTATGTGCGGGGCCATGTCCCAAATAGTAAGGAAGCCCTGGAAAATATTTGCAGTGCCTCTGTAGAAATTCTATACAGAATCATTCGATATAGAATTATTCTGGGTGTTTTTGTTTTTCAAGACAGTTTCTTTATGCTGCTCTGGCTGTCCTGGAACTAGCTTTGTAGACCAGGCTGGCCTCCAACTTAAGAGATCCGCTTGCTTCGATTCCAACCACTGGGGTTAAAGGTGTGTGTCACCACCAGGATCCATCTGTATTTATAGGACACAGTTTCCCTACAACCTACATCTAGGTCTTGACCAAACCCTTCCTAAATCTGTGTTCTCTACCCTCAGGTTGGATCTTTCTCTGATTTTTAAGAAGCGTCTGTGTAGCCAGGTGACTTGATTATAAATATTCAGATGTAGTATGTTTTGACTAATCATTCTTTCATCCTTCGGCTATACCAAATTTCATCACTGACTCGTTAGTCGTTAGGTGTGGCAGTGAGATCTACAGAAGTGACCTGTAATAGATTGGAAATAGGCTGAAGAGAGGCTCATTGATAAGAGTTCACTCTGCTCTGGCAGAGGACCTGAGTTGGCTTCCCAGCACCCATGTTAGATGGCTCACAAGTGCCTGTAACTTCAGCTGCAGAGGATCTAATGCCCTCTTCTGGACTCTTGAGGCACTGGTATTCACACACACTCACACATGCATATACAGAATAGTAGAATAAATCTTTCTGGGGTAAACATGGTTGTACATGCCATCTCAGCATTTGGAGGCAGAGGCAGACAGATCTCTACGAGTTCAAGGCCAGCCTGGTCTCCAAAACAACAACAACAAAAACCCAACTTTTTTTAAAAAATGGACATCAAGAATTTGGCATTTTGTCTCCAATTCTATGTGAGACATTTTAGGGGCTTGAGAGCATTCTTAAATATACTATAAAAGGCAGGGCTAGATAACTGCTATTTTGATTTGCCTGGTAAAGTTTCACTGTATAGCAGAGGACGACCTTGAATCCCTACCTCTACCTCCAAATGCTTGGTTTGCTGGCTTGTACAACAATACTTATCCCAAAATAAGATTTTTCACTCAGTTAAAAAAGTCTGAGCTAGACATGGTGATGCATGCTTGTGATCCTGGCCCTGGGCAAACAGGCAAAAGGGTCACCGTGAGTTCACAGTCAGCTGTCTACATAGTCACACCTGGTTTGAAACAAACCAAGAATTTGTTTGGCAGATCAAATAGGAAATATACAAAAAAGGGGTTTTGTTGTTATTTTGTTTTTTGAGACAAGGTCTCACTAATGCATTGACTGGTCTGTTACTGGCTCTGTAGACGAGGCCGCCTTAGACATATAGAAACCCACCTACCTCTACCTCCTGAGTGCTAGGGTTAAAGGCATGTGCCACCATGCTAGCTGGCTTGTTTGTTTTCCTCTTTCTTTTCTTCCTTCCTTCCTTTTTTTTCTCTAAATTTGGTGAGTGATGCTGGGGCTTGTGTCCAGGTTTTGCAGGTGGCAAATAAATGCTTCTGCCACTGAGCTATGTCCTCAGCCCAACAAGTATACTTTCATGGGGTCTTTCCAGTAACAGCTTTTAGTCTCTGGCTTTGTAAATCCTACCTCTGCCTCTGTATTCTCATTTCAGTCTAGTGTCAAGTAGCAGCTTTTGACCATTTAAAATGGTACAGTAAGCCGGGCGATGGTGGCGCACGCCTTTAATCCCAGCACTCGGGAGGCAGAGGTAGGCGGATCTCTGTGAGTTCGAGACCAGCCTGGTCTACAGAGCTAGTTCCAGGACAGGCTCCAAAGCCACAGAGAAACCCTGTCTCGAAAAACCAAAAAAAAAAAAAAAAAAAAAAAAAAAAAAAAAAAAAAAATGGTACAGTAACTGTGTGGTATTTATTAGGAGCTCAGTAAGCACTGTAGTTGACCAACAAGGCTAGATCACTGTGTGACTGTGTAACTTTGCCTTGTTTAAAGGTGATGCTGTGGAGTCTTCAAAAAGCCCGACCCGTCTGGATTACAAATTTACAGGAGGATGAAACAGAGGAAACAGAAGGGCCCCAGTCCCCTGGTCGGCTCCTAAACCCCGCGTTAGCCCACTCTGTCTCGGTGGCATCGTGTGGCAATATTTTCAGCTGTGGTGCAGAGGATGGTAAGGTGCGCATCTTCAGGGTGATGGGAGTCAAATGTGAGCGAGAATTGGGATTTAAGGGTCATACTTTGGGGGTATCCCAAGTCTGCTTTCTGCCTGAGTCCCATCTGCTGCTTACTGGAGGGAACGATGGAAAGATACGCTTGTGGGATATGAGCAGTGAAATGGAGAAAAAACAGAAGAGTCCTGCAAAACACACCCACAGGAAGAAAGCAAAAAGAGCAGCTTGCCCCAAGCAGGGTGGGAACTCAAGCGCCGCAGGAGCGGATGAGGAGAAGCATGCAAAGATTCTGCCAAAGCTCGATATTGAACATGGAGAAAAAGTGAACTGGTTCTTGAGTACAAAAATAAAAGGGCAGCAAAGTATATTAGTGGCCGATCAGACGAGTTGTATATCTTTGTATCCCTTAAGTGAACTTTAGGGCCAATAAAAAGCACTGTAAGAACTCTGATAAAGTCTTTTTGGTTTTTTGTTACCTCCTTGCTTATTAAGACATCCTCACATTTGTGGCCCAAGCTAGTCTGGAACTCACTACATAGCACAGGCTGGCCTCAAACTTGTAGCAACCCGGGGCTGGAGAGATGGCTCAGTGGTTAAGAGCAATGACTGCTCTTCCAGAGGACCGAGGTTCAATTCCCAGCACCCACATAGCAGCTCACAACTGTCTGAAGATCCAGTTGCAGGGGATCTGACACCTTCACACCAATGCACATAAAATAAAAGTTAAATAAACCCTAAAAAATATTAAAAAAAAACAATTTGTAGCAATCCTCTTGTCTCAGCCTCTATATTCTGAGAGTACAAGCATGAACCACCTTGTACTCTCTGCTGAGAACCTTATTTTTTAGGTAAAAAAATATCTTGCTTTAAACTATTTGTCATGTGTAGAATCATATTAGTTTGAACAAAAGAAGATTGTTGGATAATATTTCATATAGTGTTTTTGTTTTTTTTTTCCTTCGAGGCAGGGTTTCTACGTGGTTTTGGAGCCTGTCCTGGAACTAGCTCTTGTAGACCAGGCTGGCCTCGAACTCACAGAGATCCACCTACCTCTGCCTCCCAAGTGCTGGGAATAAAGGCGTGCGCCACCACCGCCCAGCAATATTTCATATAGTGACATTAGAGTTTGGGTATAGAGATTGAGTATTAACTATTTACCAACTGTTCACTGACTTAATTGTGCCAGATATTTTACACAGAATTTCATTTTTTTCTCATATAAAGTTTGGGGCTTTTACTGTGTTCTTATCTTACTTTGATTTCTCTTCTGATATACAGGCACACATGTAGACAGAACACTGTATACATAATAAATAAATCTTAAAAAACATATCTTAGAAGTAATAAAGTATCCAGGTAGATGGTGCATGCTTGTAATCCCAGCATTCAAGAACTTGACTGATTTGAACTACTTAGTGAGACCCTGTCACAGAGAGAGAAGTTAAAAAAGGGGGGAGGAAAGGAAGGAGAGATGGAGACAGATAGGGAAGGGAAGGAAAAGAAGGGTTTCTGGTTTGGTTTTTGGTTTTGTTTTTTATTTTTTTTTGAGGCAGGTTCTTTCTGGATGTCTTGTTGCTCACTGTGTAGACCAGGCTGGCCTTGAGCTCACAGAGATCCTCCTGCCTCTGCCCCTCCCCAACACTCTTATTGGGATTGATGGGGTGCTCCACTACCCCCAGCCAGAGATATTTTTCTTTTTTTTTTTTTAAGATTTATTTATTTATTATGTACACAGTGTTCAGCCTCCATGTATGCCCTCAGGCCAGAAGAGGGCACCAGACCCCATTACAGATGGTTGTGAGCCACCATGTGGTTACTGGAAATCGAACTCAGGACCTCCAGAAGAGCAATTCAGTACTCAACCTCTGAGCCATTTCTCCAGCCCCAGAGATATTTTTCTAATGACTAATAAAATGTAGACTGTTGACGAAGATCCAGTTATTAACTGGCCAATGTCCTGAATGAGGCAGGCCTAGGGTTTGTTTGGTTGGTTTTTTTTTTTTTTTGCAGTCATACATTCAAAAAATACTTTGGTTGTTTGGTAGACATATAGCACAGACCCCAGAATTAACCATCACTTTACATAAGAGTACCCTCCTGCTTTGAAAATCCATCATCTATCTAGTCTCCATTCAACAGTAGCAGTAGAAGTAGCAAGAAATAATTTGAAAAGGGTTTTTGTTTGTTTGTTTGTTTGTTTTTGAGACAGGATTTCTCTGTGTCCTGGCAGTCCTGGAACTCACTTTATAGACCAGGCTATTCTCAAACTCACTGAGATCTACTTGCCTCTGCCTCCCAAGTGCTGGGATTAAAGGCGTGTACCACCACCACCCATAATGAAAAAACTTATATTTCATGTCAAAGTATCTTTCATTTGAAAAAAAAAGTCTAAAAATGTTTTGTTTCGATAGCAGATAGAGGCTAGGTGATATTGGTGCAGATAAAAGGAGACTGTGCATTGGTTTCCCAGTCGTCCAGACCCGAATAATCACACAAAAACTTTATTAGTTTCAACACTGGCCAATGGTTTAGGTGTATTCCTAGCTAGCTTTTATATCTTAAATAAACCCATTTCTATTAACCTATGTATCACCATCAGCCTTTGGCCTACCGGTAAGGTTCTGGCATCTTTCTCCTTCAGCTGCTACATGGCATCTCTTGACTCCATCTTCTGCCTCTCTACATTCAGTTTTGTTTTCCTACCTACCTATGTTCTGCCCTGCCATAAGTCAAAGCAGCTTCTTCATTTATTAACCAATGGTAATAAAACATATTCATAGCATACAGAGGGGAATCCCATAATAGGTACATGCTTTTAATTCTGGCACTTGGTGGGGGGGGGGGGCAGGGGCAGGTGGATCTCTGTGAGTTTGAGGCCAGCCTGGAATACAGAGCAAGTTCCAGGACATTAAGGGCTACCTAGAGAAACCTGTCTTGGAAGCCCCTGCCCCCCTCCCCCAAAAAAGGTATTCAGGGCCTTAAAAAAAAAAAAAAGAAGACCTCGCCAGGTGGTGGTAGTGTAGGACTTTAATCTCAGCACTTGGGAGGCAGAGGCAGGGAGATCTCAGTTCGAGGCCATTCTGGTCTACCAAGTGAGTTCCAGGAAAGCCAGGACTATTATACAGAGAAACCCTGTCTCGAAAAACAAAAAGCCCAAATAAAATTGAAAATTCATACAATAAGTGATAAAGTGATGTATTAGTTCAGTAAGAAAATATATTTTTTAGTTTTGCTTTATGTGTATGGGTGTCTTCCTGAATGTATGTGTGTGCGCTATGTTGGTACAGTACCTGTAGGAGCCAGAGGAAGTTGGATCCCCTTGGGTTTCCTGGGACTCGAGTTGTAGATAGTTGTGAGTCACCATGTGGTCTGGGAATCGAGTCAAGGTCCTCTTGAACAACATGAACAACAGCCAGTACTGATTTTGTTTGTTTGTTTTGTTTTTGTTTTTCAAGAACAGGGTTTCTTTGTAGCTTTAGAGCCTGTCCTGGAACTAACTCTTATAGACCAGTCTGGCCTCAAACTCACAGAGATCCACCTGCCTCTGCCTCCCGAGTGCTGGGATTAAGGCATGCGCCACCACTGCCCGACTTAGCCAGTATTCTTAACTCCTAGAGTCATCTCTACAGGCCTTAAAGAGTTTGTTGTTGTTGTTCTTTTTCTGATGTGTGTGGTAGCCAAGGCTATCTTTGAACTTGGAATCCTCATACTTCAGTCTTCTGAATGCCGAGTCAGGAAGCCTCTCTTAAATAAGATGCACTTGCCTCTTGCAAATAGAGCCCACCTGAGAAAATGCTACCAAGAAGCTATGCTTAACTCTGTTCATTTTTGTCTAGAGTTAGTTCCCAAACTCTCTCAGGTTGTAAGTGGATCTATCTGTCCCCAACATGCCATTTGTTGAGCGAAGTTTCTTTCCTACCCTGTCCCACAGCCATTCAGCCCCAAAGAAACACACAGAGACCTACATTTATTATAAACTGGTTGGCCTATTAGCTAGGGCTTCTTATTAACTCTTATAACTTATATTAGCCCATGATTCTTGTCTGTGTTAGCCACATGGCTTGCTACCTTTTTCAGCGAGGCAGTCACATCTTGCTTCCTCTGTGTCTGGATGATGACTGCAGACTGAATTTTTCTTCTTCCCATAATTCTGTTCTCATCGCCCAGCCTATACTTCCTGTCTGGCTACTGGCCAATCAGCATTTTATGAAAATAAAATTGACAGGGTACAGGCCATTGTCCCACAGCAAGCCTTGGTGACTGGGTGCTTCCCAATGCCATGACTGCAGGTGAGGAAAGCTTGACCATAAGCAGTTTTGACTAAATCCTACATAACATGCCCTAACTGTCCCTGACCAGTGTCATTGCCAGTTCTTAGCAGCATGTAGCTTCTGATACTCGTCACCACTCTTGCTTCCATGTGACAGAAGCCACCAGACAGCAAGGGTGGCTTGTAATGTGTCACCACCGTGTGAGCAGACATTTCTCTCCTTGTTCCTCTTAAATATCTTACCATAAGACTGACTCCTTTTCCATTAACATATACTAGTTCAACAGGGCATGGTGGTGCACTCAGAAGGCAGAGGCAGATGTATCTCTGTGACACTGAGGCCAACCTGGCTGTTATACAGAGAAACTCTGTTCTGAAAACCAAAAAACAAACAAGCAACAACCAAAAACATATACCAGCTCTACCCCCACACACCCGTTGCTCCACCTCCCCCTTTCCCACTTTTTTCACACTTCCTGATGCTGGGAGTTAACCCTAAGGAATTACACATGATAAATAAGTGACCACCACTAAACAATATTGCCAGCCTTACTTTTTATTGTTGTGAGACTGGGTCTTCCTAATCTGTCCATGCTATCTCTTAGGTCTCCTTGATTTTTTTTCTCGACTTGTTTGTCATTTGTATATAGGAAGACTATTGACTTTTGTGTGTTCATTTTGTATCCAGCTACTTTGTTGTGTTTATCAGCTGTAGGAGCTTCCAGTATAATTTTTAGAGTCAATTATGTATACTATTATACTAACATATCATCTGAAACAAAGATACTTTGATTTCTTCCTTTCCAATTTGTATCCTTTTGATCTTCAGTTGTCTTATAGCTGTAGCTAAGACTTCAAGACTATATTGAATAAGTATGGAGAGAGTGGGCAATCTTGTCTTATTCCTGACTTTGGTGAACTTTGCTTAGAGTTTCTTGCCATTTAAATTGAGGCTGACTATGGCTTGCTGTAAACTGCCTTTGTTATGTTGAAGTGTGTTTCTTATATCCCTAATCTCTCAGGACTTTGATCTTGAAGGGGTATTGGGATTTGTCAGTGGTCTTTTCTGCATCTAACATGGTGATTATGTAGTTTTAGTCTTTTAGTTTGTTAATATGGTGAGTTACATTTTTCAAGTTTGTGTATGTTGAACCATCCCTGCATCTTTAGATC